GCGAGAAAATGTGTTCTTCCATTATTAAGAAATATATCTCTTTATTGAAAAATGAATGGATATAGCAATTTTTATGAAAATGTGGTTACAAACGACTATATTTGTAGATAATGAAATACATGCACCTTTATCGTAGCTTGTATTAAATGTGCGAATACGAATAATTCTTGGGTACCAACTGTTCGAGACGAATCGAACCCGATAACAGCAAAATTTAAAAAATTTAATTTAAATACTTGGCAACATATAAAATAAATCAAAATAATATGAAGCATACTTAATTCTAAGTTATAATTAATCTTTTTTTGTAGCATTTAAATACATTAATTTGCCGATATTTGACAGCGATCGCGTCCAAGAACATGGAAAGAACGCGGTGTTTTCGCGATGTAGTTTATTAATTTATTTGACGAATATTTAATTCCGATACGAAATTCGTAAATAGCAATCAAATCAAAATCAAATCATGAAATTTGAAATAAAAATTGGAATACTCGCGCTTCTGCAATGTCGAAGGCAGTTACATAGAAAATATAATAATTTTTAATTTTAATTGGTCCTAATAGTCCTCACCCCTACTTTGCTAGCTAAGCCAGCGGGAATTTGCGGTTATCAAAATTTGGGGGAGAAATTTGTCTTAACCGCGTGCCCTACTCGCGTGTCCTATTCGCGTATCCTATTTGCGCGTCCTACTCGCGTGCCCTAATAGAATGTACCGTATGTTGCTTCCGTTGGACCAGTTTGACCTACCTTTCGGTGATCCTGGCCATATTTATTCTGGCTACATCTAGCCAGAGATGTAGTTTCAACCTCTATCAGAGGGCAATGAAGGAAAGAAATTCTTTCCATTGCCGGCTAATCATTATCGCCGGTGCATGAGCGTAATTTTACGCTCTTTTATGGTCGTAAGACATTACGACCGTTTGTCATGCATCGTTTTGATATAACTATTAATTTATATAATGCCAAATTATCAATTAAAATTAATTGACTGATTTCTTATAATAATATCAAAATTAATTGATTGCATTTTTATATAATAATATAATATTATTTATAATAATATATAATTTATATTAAAATAAAATTAATAAATCATTTATATTTTA